AGGAAGAGGAGATATGAAATGTCAGGGCATATAGTCCGTATGTAAAAATTCATAGAAACTGGAATATTTCTGCCACCTATGAACCTTAAAGATTTTGATTGAAAAACAGCTACAGTGAATGCTAAGAAAAATACAGTCTAATCCTGTGTGAAGCTGATATTTCATTGCTTCCATTTTGGCTAATTTTCTAGTTGTTACTGTTTTCCTGGAGGGCCATGGCAAAATAACACATCTGGGAAGCTAATCATCTGGATATGTGGTTCTGTTGAAAATGACAACCCCATTCTTTTTCTTTCTAGAAAATCTGCATGATAGAATGATAAAGGTACAGTCCTAGAATTGAGTGAAGGATGAGTTGTCAAGAAAGATTTGATTTTCAAACACACAGAGGCGGTGGCTGAGACTGAGTCAAGGATGGATTTTCTTTAAATGTATAAGAACAGAGTGTTAGACTGATGATTGGATTGGGGGAATATGCGCAGGTGAGGCGGGAATGTTGGAGTCAGGTCAGTGTGTAAGCGAGGAGGAAGAAGCAACTGTGTCTCAGAGGCAGGAGACTGAGTGTATTACACGAAAGCCAAGGGAAGTGCTTCGGCAAAGGGAGGGTCGGAAACAGTTTGCACCAAAAAATCTCCAAGAGAGATCTGGAAAAACACCAGTTGATCTGGTGAAAAGTAGATCATTTCTAGTTCCCAGGGCATTGTGGTGGTGAAGTTGCTTTCTCTTCTCTCCAGATAAGCACTAAGGGCATTTCTGATTTAACCTGACTTTTCCACGGCACTTTAAAAAATAGAAATCACAGGATTCACTAGAGAATGCAATGACTGATGGAGTAGGTAAGCATGTTGTGTAATCAGTGTAGTATCGTGTTGCTCTTCACCTTAGGGATTTTTGGTGCTTTTCTCATAGAAGGAAGATGTAAACAGGAATCAAGCCAGGAAGGTCACTTTTACACACGTATAAATCATCCCGTTAAAAGAGAATGATGAGAAGCAAATACGGTGGCACTAGTTAAATTCTGGAAGTAGAGAAAAGTCACCAACTATCTTTACCCATCGATCGTGCTTGCAGATAGAAGAGGCCCAGGCACAGGAATGGAGGATTTTGCCGTTAAAACAAAAACAAAGAACACACACACACACACCTCAGAGTGCTGTGTCCCTAAAACACAAGGAGCTTACGCTAAAAAGATCTTTTGAAGAAATCAATGTCTCCAGGATGCATCACACCGAAAGCTGTGTTTTTGCTTCTTTAAAGTGGTAAGAAAGAAGCAGCTCCTTGTGTTCCTCTCCGGAGTTTGCACAGCTAACGAGCAGCTGGAGGCCTCGGTGGAAGTTAATAAACTCATTGTCAGTGGAGGGGGTTTGTGCTGCGCCTCGTTGGGACTGACCGGAGCATTCGGGTGTGAATCCTTCGTCCCGTGCCCATACCTTTGGAAACCGCTTATCCTGCAGCCCCACCATCCAACTTCCGATTCACATCAAGTTTATTTAGCTCTTATTGTCTCTACTTGAATTAATGCTGTAAACAATTTGTTCTTACTAAAGTGATTGTCATTAATAACAACGAATAATGTAGTTCTACATCATCAAAATCACATTGTGGATGTTGTAAAAAGTAGAAATTTTCTCAAATGGACAAACTTGATAATCCTATAGAAGTTTTTTTTTTTTTTTTTTTTAAGAAATAATTGGAATACATCTGAATAGCAAATAATTGTGCTATTAAAAAGCACAGCTGGCTGGAGACAAAAAAGAAAACAATATGAAGGGATTCATGGGAAAATTAACAGTGAATATTGAATTTCCTGAATTTTATTTCCAAGCTGCTTGACATGCTGTTTTTCTTTGGTCGTCTTATTTCCCACCTGGGGTTAGTCTTTTTACTGTGCATGGTGGTTTTCTCTTAATCTTGCAGTTCACCAGTCCTGTGGCAATTTGAATTTTATGATTATTATAGAGTGGGACAAAACTCAAAAGTATGCCAAGTATGAAAGCCTTTCTAATTTTTTTTAGTCGTCTACTTCTAATTTTTTTTTTTAATTGTCTCTTTGCTCCAAGAACCATTTATTCTCCTGGTTTACTCCGGCTGTACAAGGACCCAACAGTAACAGTTTACCTGGTGCTCTGCACTTTAGCATCCTGAACTCTGAAAATTTACAAACAAATTGTCTCCTATAAATATTCACCTATTCAGTTCCTTGCGAAAGTCAGTACCTTTTTTTATTTTATTTTTTATTTTAGTGTATCATGGGGGTACAAGTGTTAAGGTTATATATATTGCCCATGACCCCCACCTCAAGTAAGAGCTTCAAGCATGTCCATCCCTCAAACGTTGCACATCTTTCTTGTTGTGGTTGTATATACCCATCCCCTCCTCCCCCCCCCCGACACCCGATAAATGTTACTCCTATATGTCCACTTAGGTTTGATCCGTTAATACCAATTTGCTGGTGAGTACATGTGCTGGTTTTTCCATTCTTGAGATACTTCACTTAGTAGAATAGGTTCCAGCTCTATCCAGGAAAATACAAGAGGTGCTATATCACCATTGTTTCTTAAAGCTGAGTAGTACTCCATGATATACATATACCACATTTTATTAATCCACTCATGAATTGATGGGCACTTGGATTGTTTCCACAGCTTTGCAATTGTGAATTGTGCTGCTATAAGCATTCGAGTGCAGGTGTGAAAGTCAGTACCTTTTAACGTGGTCCAGCACGAATCATACCAAGTCACACACATATACCCATTTAGAAATGGCATTGTAGAGAATCATACGTTAAAAGGCTGATTTTAGTCAAAGGAATCCCAGGTCTCTTGGCTGTGAGGGTAAGCTAAATCTCACACTCTGCCTCAAATTACAGCACATCAAGTTTATTTGCAAGCGGCTGCCCCATTGTGAATCCCTTCGTGGACAAACAGGGAGTTTGTGTAAGATGGATTGCTTGGCCTTTTATCTTTTTTGTGACCCCTAAGTGTAATATAGTAGCATGTGGGCTCCTGTTACTAGCAAAATAGTCCATGTTTGCTCCAGGAAGTTGAACATTCTAACGACAAACATTCCAACATTTGAATTATAAATTGGTAGCCTGCCTGGTGCGACTGATTGCGCCAGCTGGCTCATCTTGAGCCCATGACATTTGATTGCCTTTTGCCTTCCTTTGAACAAGTTATCTCTTAGCTGCCTGTCTTATAAAGTGAAAATAAATATCTGCGATTCCATCTTGCACTGTAATGTATTGTTTTCCCCGTTCGGCAAGTCGTCACGAAACTCAGGAACGCTGTAAGGATAAACAGGGCATAAACGCAGGGCACGGCAGCTGATAGGACCCTCTAAGATGTTACACTTAAAGGTGATTTACTGAGACTGAATGGGACATTGTATTAACTTTTCATTTTTCAGCACCTTAAATATCCTCTTGGCTAACAAGTGAAGTGGTTTCTGTTCATTGCACCTGAATTGTCTCCATAGCCCCAGAGCTTGCTCTGAAGGAGAACGAGGGCTCTGTGTAGATGGAGAAAGACCAGTTGCAGAGCAGGGCGGGTGCAGACTTCGGGATGGGCGATTTCATCCGGTTGCTCATTACTTGTTCTGTACAGTTGCTTTTACTAAAGACAGAACGAAAGGGCATCCCCGTGTCACATAACCATGCTTGCACTTCCCGTTGCAGGCAGGGAGCAAAAGATGTATGTCCCTGAAATCAATTCAATGTGATTATTTTGCTAAGTTTTCATGAATACTAAGAAGAAAAGGTCGGCTAACATAAAAAAATGCAGTGCAATGGTTCCCTCGGGGGCTGGGCACTGGTGAGGTCTGCATTATTGCTTTTTGATCTCCCATTTATCCTTTTCTGTATATGAATAAAATATACTCTGAGATTTAGTTTAAAATTAAGGAAAATTAATGATCTTTGAAAATCTGGCTCTACTATGCTATTAGTCTTTTAAAAAGTTAAGAAATCATTCAAACTTTAATTATGAGACCACTATTCTCTCTCTCTCTGTCCCTCTTACGTTGCTATATAGATTTTTCAAGGGGAAAACGCTCCAACTTACCTCGACTGTTGGGTTTCCAGCAGGTCCTCTGGAAGTACAGCTCAGTGAGGGAGAAGGGGGTATGTTTCAGACCTCATTTTATGTACAGACTTGACCTTGCTCCGTGGACCACAAGGTAAACATTCAGACAAGAGGAGATCTAATGTGTGTGCTGGGGAAATCTTTTAGAAACCTGAGGTTGTTGAAACGTTTTGCAAATTAGGGGTGACTTGAGTGGTTCCCTAAACACTATTTCTGTGAACTGTTGCATATTGGACAATTAATGGAAGAAATATGCGACAACAAAATGTGGACAAGATCATAATCGAACAGGTTGCTGGACACAAGTATACTTACATTTAAAACCTTACCTATTATAATTCAGGGAAGCTCGCATCTCCCTGCAATTATGGTGAGCAATTATGGTGATCCAGCTTCTTGGGACAAATGTTATGAATGAGCCGCGTACTTGGCCAGGCAGAAGTGCACTGCGACAGTACAGAGCATGTCACGGTCAAGCATGGTATTCTAATATTTTCACTTAATTGGCTGTGCAGTTGATGAGGATGATTAACTCAGCTCTGTATCAGAGCCGTGGGTGACATTGGTTCAGGAAAAATCCAAAGAAGAGAACAATTGCGACTTCGTCGGCTAGTACTAAACAGTTCTAGGGTCTTTACTGGTCATAGTGGAATTGGTGGCTGAGCACTTGTGGCGTCCAAAGGCCAGGTTTAAAAATCTTGCCTCTGCCATTGATAGCAGGGTGACCAAGGGTAAGTCATTTAACCTTGAGTTTTTTCATTAATGGAGAGATTAATTTGTGCCTTACCTAGTCTGAAATATGACACTTAGATTCGAGTCATTGCGAGAATGAAGCAAGTATATGAAATAGCTGTAGAACACTGTAGGACCCTGTATAAGGGAGTTGTTTTTATTCATTAGTCCATAATCCCACCGACCTCAGAGACAGTAGTGACATATCTCTATCCCGATTTGCTTCTCTGCATTGGCACCGATGGACGGGGCAAGACTCCCAGTGAATGATCTCTTCGCTGCACTTCTCAACTGGATTTTGAAGATTCTGAGATATGGAAATATTATTGAGAAATGATGATCGTTTTCTTTGGGTCTAATAAATTTCCTTAAGTGAGTGTAATTAGATCACTGAAAAGAAGTGATTCCTAGTCCTGAACATTCTAGAAAGAGGGTCAGATCAGAAAAACTCAGTGATTAAGGAAATTTAGAAAATCTTTCCCTGTGGTCAAATTGGCTTACTCACTGTCTTCTAAAAAATAACACACACATGTTATCTCTGCTTCTGGTCTTCACAGTTACCATTTGTCTTTTATTTTGCATGGAATGCCTTTCCTCTCTAGTCTTCTCTTTAATTTAGAACACAGTTAAGTGTTACCTCTTCTAAAAATAGACTTCCTTCATTGCCTCAGCTACACATTAAACACAGTCATTGAGAATGTGTAACTTACTGGTTTGTATTGTCATCTACTATGTACCATGTGCATATGACTTGTCTCTGAAAATCAACTGTAAATTTTTTGGGGGAAAGCAATATGCATTGTATTTCAACTGTTAGAAAATAATTCTGGAAATGTATGTTGACAGGATAGTTAGACAAATAAGAAGGGGTATTGTAGGAGGTATTATTTGGGAGCCAAAAAAGTTAACTGGCCAGAAACAGAAAAGAGTTTAAAACTCATTTATTTGATGGAAAAAAGTTTGAAAATCAATTTAAAGCAAGGTGAATTTGAGATTAAGGAGACAAAAGTATTGACTGGAAACCATTGATGTATGACCCAGAGTCTTTAGAGGAAGAAAAGAAGAAAATTTAAGTTTCATATTTAGAAAAAGAAAAATCGAGGGTAAAATTAGAACCATTAAGAGATGTCTGGTGAGTCTCTTTTTGTTACCTTGCCATTTACATTCAATGCAACATAACTTGTATTTTCTGCATGGAAAAACTAATGTAGAGCTAGCTCTTGTGAAACCACATCTGGATCTTTCTTTACAAATGAATCTTCTTCCTACACCAAAATGTTCTCCTTTTTTGATGGCTATATTTGAAGTGATGGTGTGAGGTCCCAGGAAGGAAAGAAATGCACTATGGTTGCATTATTTGATTTCATATTTAAATAGGCAGTCTCCTTATTTATTTATCTATTTATTTATTTTACCTCTTCTATCCAAAGTCAAAATAATGCAGACCTTGAAAAGCACAGATGCCATTAACAGCCCCTATTCTGAATGTTCTTAGTGGGACTAGCTCTTGCATAGCATGTGCTCCTTTTATTCTTCTAAGTTTTCCCGGTAATACTAAGACAAGTTCTTTTTCATGCTATAGAGATAAGTGTTGCATAAAAATGAAATTACTGACATCGTCCCTTCTCTATTCTTTTAAAATTATGTTTCCTGTTTTAGGTCCACTTGTGAGTTTCTTTTCCAGTGGAGCTTTCTGCTATATGGTATTTAGAAACAGTGCAGCATCTCAGAACCCAGTCAAAAATGGTCACCGCTCACGGTCACTCATCTTGAGACCACAGGGAGGATGCAAGTTGACGGCATCGACCATGAAACAATGTGCGATCACATTGGCTTTTGCAGGCTCACTTTTTAAAACAATTATTATTGACAACTTTCAATACAAGGAAAGAAAGGCTTATCTTTTAGAGTCTTCCTAGCTATTTAACTCAGCTTTGGCATGCTGCACGGCCAACTGCTCACCTGCATCCATAATTTAAAAGGAGAGACCTGGAGAGCAGACTTTCAAAGACCTGAGTGTGATTTTTAGATCAAATTCCTCATCTCCTGAACCTTGGTCTCTCACCACCCTGGCCCACCTTCAGCAAGAATCTTGTCAAGTCGACTTAGCCAGAATCCCTTTCACCCCTGGTGTTTCTTCTCAGCAATTTTTCACCCACAGACACTACCCTGCTCCTTGCCTATAAATCGCCACTTGTCCATGACGTATTTGGAATTGAACCTGGTTCTATCCCGAGGTCTCTTTCCGCTGTTGCAGTAGGTCCCGAATAAAATCTGTTTTTGACACTCTGACTCCTGTCCAGCTCTGGTTTTCTTTGCCGGGCACTGTTCCTGTTTCTAGGAGCTCCACCCAGCATATAAGGTTGGACCAGCAGTTGGCTCCTTTGTACTCTTTTTTTCCCATCTTTGAAAAAAAAATATTAAGAACCTATATCCTATTTCTCTGAGAATAATTATATTATTTACAGGGTTTTACTATAGAGGAATGATAAGGCAAAGGAAAGAGAGAATGGTAGCAAGGCATTTATATTCCAGTGATGATTAATTTGTTGTACTTGGAATGTATCATTGTATGCTGAATTGTCAGTCAAATTATTTTCCTATACATGAATTTCATCTTCTGTAGTAAAAAACCTAAAAATTCTATGAAGAGAGAAGACTATAAAGTGTGCATGCCATGACAATGGGGACACAGTTTATTCTGGACCTTAGCCAAGAAAAGGCTCAGGGAATATTTCAGAATATATTGGAATACCAATAACATTGTCTGCTGCCTTTGGCTACAGAATTTTATTATTGTTTAAAAAATAGTTAAAAAAATTTTTTTTTTACTATATTTTGGTCACCTTTTAATTCCTGATATAATAGCAATGGAGTTTCTGAATGAGTGTGAGACCTCAAGATTCCAACAGGTGCAGCAGGGCCGGTAGTGAGTGCTCAGAAGAAGCAGCTGATGCTTCTGCCCCTCGCGGGACGTTGGGAGGCATGGACGCACTTTCCCCATGTGCTCGGGCACCGGTGGGTGGGGAACCTGTGCAGACGGCAATTCTGGGGTTTGGCTCCAGCTTCACTGAGGCCTCCTGTGAAGTGGAGACACAGGTACCCGCTCCAGACAACACAAAGAGCATGAGGATGACGTAGACAGGTAGGACCCATCTTTGAAGGTGGCAGAAAAGTCTTTGTGCCCAGGGAGGAGTGATTGGGCTGTAAGAACATGTTATAGGTGCCACTCTGCGACCTGGTCTGCTATTCAGGCTCATGTAGAAACCTCCACAAGTGTCTAGCTGAGGAAAAATACTGTTTTGATAGGAACCATCTTAATAGGGGAAGCAAACGGAACTAGATTTGGCCTTTTTTTTGTTGTTGTTTTATCTTATTTCTTCAATAAGATAAAAAAGAAGACATGACATTGTTCCGGGTGCTGGATGCATTATTGATGTGAGCAAACGAAGGGAGGTTGTCTTGGGGCCAATGACAAGGCTTTGCTGTCAAAACCTAGAGGGGCCTCAGTAGGCGTGTGGTCCTGCTCTCAAAGTTGTATCAGTAAGAATGGCTTAAGATCAATTGCTCTGAAAATGTAATCATTATTTTTTGGCAGACAGTCTCCAAATATAATTGGCTCTTTGCTAAAATTCTGTATAGTAGGTTAACTCATTTAGTTACTCGGGATTACATTTTTTATCCAATTTATCTTGGAAGTACACTAAGAAGTTACCTTTGTTAAAATTATATGTCCTTGGAGTGCAATATTAAAAAAGTTTTAAATGGTTTAAGTGCGTAATTTGCAACACCTGCTTTAAAAATTCTCTAGGATAAAATACTTATTTGTAAGCTCTGTAGTGCAGACCTTTGAGACCTTTTGTTTAAGTAGACCTGGTACTGTTTGCTGAGAAAACTTGACCCTTTCTGCCAACCTTCCTTCCATCTGCCTCTTGGATAAGTTGCAGAGCTTTCTATTGAAACATAAATCCTTTTAGTAAAGGATTAAAATCCTAGTCCTTTGTTTATGCACAAAATCAATCAATCTTTCTTTAATTGGTAGTGTAGATTATCTGCAAGTTCTTTCCAAGGAGCTTTAACTCTTAGCTGTAGGAAGAACTCCACCTATATACAAAACCAGAACATTTTTTAGAGATGACTCAAAATATATTTGATAATCTGTGCTGCTTATTTTTCTAAATTTTACTCTTGGATCAAATCAGATCCAAATCAGATCCACCACCAGAAAACCACATATTTAGATAATCAGACAATAGCTGTGGCCTTTTTTAAAAAAAAACAAACTACATGTATAAGTTTTCTCTGGTTTTATGCACGTGCCCACTGCCAAACGATGTTGTCAGAGAAATGCTATTAGGACGTGTGTCTCGGGGCTGTTGCCATGTGTACTGTCTTCCACATATACAGAATGTCCTTCACAGGGACCTACAGCATCGGTGCAATAGTCCTTTCTTATCTGCATTTCAATTTCTGTGTTATCAGTTTCCTGAGGTCAACTGCAATCCAAAAATATTAAATGGAAAATTCCAGAAACAATTCATAAATTTTAAAATTGCCCGTTGTTCTTAATATTGTGATGAAATCTCCTGCTGTCACACTCCTCATTTTTCTGGGAACATGAATCATCCCTTTGCGCAGCATGTCCTTGCTGTATAGGCTACCTGCCCCTGTTAGTCACTTCGTATCCATCTCTGCTAGCGGACTGAAAACGCATAATATATCCACAGTCTGTACTACACGAGATTTCAGGCATTCGCTGAGAACTTGCAACATGCCCCCGTGGGTGAAGGGGGGGGGTCTACTGTATTTTCCAGTTCTTGATACTTAAGGGAAACTAAGCCTACCTGAATGTTGTTTTCTCATTTGACCATCGTTAGACTGTTAAGTCATTATTTCCCAAACTATGTTCTGCAGAACCCTTTGCTAAGCAAGGCCAGTAACTGGTGCGTGAAAAAGCTTTGCGTTCTTCACATCTTACTGGCCCCTTTGTATGTTCATCCGCACATGGATGGATGGCTGTGTGCGGTTCCACCGCTAAGAAGAAACAAACATTAACTTTGTTTTAATCCCGCATTTGCCAGTATTTCTCGCAGTGCGTGTGTGGGAGGGGGTAGGTGTGACATTTCCAGTAAGATCTAGTAGAACAGCATTAAGCAAGTACCAGTCTGAGGAATGCTGTTGCCATTTTATGATTTTCCTCTTTCCTCAATTTGTTTTGATTTCCCAGGAGGCTTAGAAATTTGCAAATTTTTTTTCTTTTTTTTTACCTTAAATTCCCGTGTCTGTGGACTGGATATGGTAGCCATGGACATCTTGGTAAAACTTCAAATCCCACTTCACCCCACTTGCCTTGTGAACCTCAGCAGGGCTGTTCCTGCAGGGCTCCCTGACCCCATGTGGGAGCAGTCTCTGCTTTATTTTCCCATTTACTTTAACTGCTTACCCCTTTCCATTCTAGGCATTTTACTGACTTACGTTTTACTTTCATTTCAGTTCTTACAGTGACCCTCGGGGAGGACAGGTCCATAGACTTACCAAGCGGCCTCACGTGTTCTCTTATTTCTGCAGCTTTAATATCCATTTGTTTCTAATGCACCCTGCACACTCGATCTTCAGCATGTACTCTGATATTACAGCCTGTGTCGTCTTATGACCTTTATTCCTGTCATCTTGTTTTCCTCCTTTGATTTTTCATTTCTTCCGATTCCCAACGCATTTATTATCCTGTTTTCTTAGACCTATCTCTGAAAGCGGGCTCAAGTCTTTTTATGCAATGAGATGATGGTATAAATGACTAGTCGATTATTTTTCCTAATTAATTAAAAATAAATTAATCTCTTTCTAATATTCGAAGGGCTAATATTCAAAGGGCGGAGACGATGCCATTGCTGGGATATTGTGTGTGTGCGGGGGAGTGTTGGCTGGTCATTTTGGAGAATGAGAGATCTCAGGCAAAGCTGGCTGAGCGTAAGGCTCTTTGAAGCACTCGATATCATGGAATGAAAAAGTGTTTCCTGGTCTGATCTATGTCAGCAGAAATCCCAGCTTTGCCCCTGACTGGTCGTGCTGTCTGGGTTGGAGCCAAGTGAGTGACACCTTGGCCAAGTGGCCTTTGGCATCTCAGGATAAGTTTAGCTCCTTCCAAAGCGTGTGGACTTGGAATCCTGATGCGTGGAGCGCATGGGTCCGTCTTCACCTGCCTGCACGAGCTGCCCTGGCTGCGGGTCCCGCCTGCACCTGACTCCAGCTGCTCTGCTGCCTTCTGGGAGGAATCCTTGTGTCCTTACTTCGTGGATCAAAAACTTCTTCCAGATGAAATCAAGTGACCTACACTTCCTCTTTTGCCTCTTGGATATTTAAGAATGCCAGGATGGGATGTGCAGAGAATAAGCAATTGATCAGGGCACCGCCTCTAAATGGTTTGATTGAAAGGAGCACGTCAGACACATTTTGGACCTGACGCCCCATCCTTTTTCTGCCTCGATTTGTCAACATCCATTTGTCTTTTTCAAAACTGAGGCAGAGAATTGCATAAAAATTTTGTCTCGCCTTAGAATGAACACACCTCATTTACGTGATCGAGGGTGCCTCCTTTTCCTGCTTTTATTCCTCCCTACCAATTTAATACGTCTGAAACATCTCTCATTACATCAGTTACAGCTTAAAACTCTTCAATGACTCCTGTTATCTATAGGTTAAAAGCTAAACACACTATTATTATGGGTTTCCAGGCCTCCGCAGTTTGGATCTAATTTTTATTTCTAGCCTTGTTTGCTATTAGTACTCCTTTCACAAACCGTTTGCTCTAATCACACTAGCTCTTTAATTTGTTGCTTTGAATGTGTTCCACTGCACTTCCCAAATGTACATCATCATCATCATCATCATAACAACAATGATAGCATTGGGAGCAGTGTTAGAAGTAGTGAAAATAGTGGTGACCGCACTGATGTATTTGAATCGAGTGCCTTTTTTCCCCCAGTCTTCCAAATATTGGTGTTTTGTCATCTCTTCAGCCATTTCTTGACCTCCCCTAACAGCACATCAGGCCCTTGCAGATCCCTTCTCTTAAGCTTTCTGGACTACTCTGGCTAGAAATGAGCTCTCTTTGCTGAACTGCTATGATGCTTACTGTCCACCCATTGGTGACTACCCCTTTTGCAACTTCTGCAACTAGTTACCTTTTGTGGTGTGTTTAGAAATTTCTCAGCTTGTAGGAGTGACTTATGTGCATTCTTTAATGTGAGTGGCACCTACTTCAAATTCCTTGTGGGATGTGTTGATTTTGTATAGGAAACTCAATACGTACATGCACACACATATATAAATAAATACAAACAATAAGCAAGAGAAACAAAAGCACTCTCAAGCAATGTCAAGTAGTGCTTTCTCACCTTGTGTCACTGAAATCCCTTGGAGGACTTCTCTTTTCTCTCTCCTTCCCCTTCCTCCTCTCACTTTCAGCCGTCCATGTTGAGGGATTGACCAGACCCAGAAAAATGGGGACTATGAACTGATTGTATTAATATAATGCTAATGCAAATAATCCCAGTTTAGCGTTCAATTTATTGTGTAATCTTAAGTTACAAGATGCAACATTTTTTTTTTTTGTTGATGATGCATTTGATTTTTTTAATTGCAAGGTTTTTTTCTTAAAAAAATTTTAGAGGAGATACATAACTAAACTTATGCTACTTTTTTTCATATGTTCTGGCACAATCCTATAAGCATTATACTAATGATAATAATGAAATCAATAGTGCTAAGATAAGCATGCAAACATGAAGGCTTTAATCTATTAGACAATTTGGTAATTTACATTCAAATTGCAATGAAATGGAGAGACATTCACTGTCCTCTCATTTTGATTGTTTGGCTTGTATTTTCTCTGAGAAGAGGCTGTGTGATTTTTTTTCCTGAGGTCAGCTGGGGTTTTTTTGGAATGGTGTGGAGGAATATCTGGCAGAGAGTATGATGTAGACCTCCTGGGAGACTGGCTGCATCAGCAAGATGCCATCTCCCTCAGGCTGTAGCTACACCTGTGCATCATAAATTTGGGAAAAATGTGGCTGTTACCTTGGGATTTAACCTACTTTTGGTTTATGGAAAATTTCCAAATGGAATTATTAAAGTAAGTGTTGCCTAATTGTAACAACACATTTATTTTCCTTGACCATCTTAGGTTTTGACTTGTTTTTTTTATTTAAAGAAGGTTGATTGGCAGTTTTTATGTGCCATGTGTAGTGTGTGTGACACTGACTGACCTAAAAAGTTTTTGCATATGCCCACAGGCCATTGATAAGGCAAGGAAAACTACAAAATACTGATGAGGAATTGTGGATGACTCAAACAAATTGAAAAATATTTCATTTGCTCATGGATTAGAAGAATGTTGTTAAAGTGACTGTGTTACCTAAAGCAATATACAGATTCAATACAATCTCTATCAAAATACCAACATTATTTTTCACAGCATTAGAAAAATGAATCCTAAAATTCACATGAAACTAAAGAAGAGCCTGAATAGCCAAAGCAATCCTAAGCAAAAAGAACAAACCTGGAGGCATCATGTTACCTGACTTCAAATTATACTACAAGATTCTAGTAACCCAAACAGCATAGTACTGGTACGAAAACATATCAGTGGAACAGAGTAGATAACCCAGAAATAAAGCCACATATTTACAGCCAAATGATCTTTCACAAAGCCAACAAGAACATATATTGGGGAAAGGATATTCTTTTTAATAAATTGTTCTGGGAAAATTGGATTGCTATATGCAGAAGAATGAAATTCCCTCACCATATACAAAAACCAACTCAACATGGATTAAAGACTTAAATGTAAAACTCTAAGCTATAGAAACACTAAGAGAAAATCTAGAGAAAACTCTTCTGGACATTGGTCTAGACCAAGGGTCCTCAAACTTTTTAAACAGGGGTTCACTATCCCTCCGACCATTGGAGGGCTGGCCTATAGTTTTAAAAAAACTATGAACAAATTCCTATGCACATTGCACATATCTTATTTTGAAGTAAAAAAACAAACAGGAAAAAACACTCTCATGTGGCCCATGGACCATAGTTTGAGGACGCTTGGTCTAGACAAAGAATTTATGACTAAGATCTCAAACACATGGACAACAAAAATAGACAAACAGGACTTAATTAAACTAAAAAGCTTCTGTACAACAAAAGAAATAACCAACAGAGTGAACAAACCTGTACAATGTAAGAAAATACCTGCAAACTATTCATCTGACAGCGGACAAATATCCAGAATATAAAAGGAACTCAAACAACTCAACCAAAAAATTAATCCCGTTGAAAGGTGGGCAAAGAACATGAATAGACATTTTTCAAAAGAAGACATGGAAATGGCCAACAAATATATGAGAAATGCTCAACATTACTAATCATCAGAAAAATTCAACAAAATCCTATTCAGCCATATAAAAGAATGAAATCCTGTCATTTACAGCAACATGGATGGAATTGGAGGCCATTATCTTAAGTGAAGTCAGGCATAGAAAGTCAAATATTCAATGTTCTCTCATAAGTGGGTGCTAAAAAATGTGTACACATGGATGTAGAGAGAGTGGAATGATGGACAATGAAGACTCAAAGGGTGAGAAGGTGGAAAGGGGGTGGGTGATGAGAAATTAGTTAATGGATACAATGTACATCATTCAGGTAATGGCTACTCTAATAGTCTTGACTTGACCACTGCCCAATCTATGCATGTAGCTAAATTGCACATGTACGCCATACATTTGAACAGATAAATAAGCAAGCAATGATTTCTGTGTGTGACATCCTACACCATACTGTATTCATGCTGTGCCATTGTACTTTATCTCAAGGGAGGGAAAAAAATCAATGGGGTTTAGACCGATGCTCAGTTTAGTCCTAAAATATATGGGAAAAGAGCCTAAAAAATTTGTATACAATATCTCTTTATTATTTTGTAACTGTGTAATTATTTCTATTTTTTCATTGAGTGCATTTTATGGAGATTACTGGTGCTGAGGTTTTGAGGGGTGGGACCTGTGGATGTCTTCTTTAGTGGGTGGACTGCAGGTTTTCTATTATTTTCTTTTCTTTTGTAGACTTGATGATAAGCCTGAAAGTAATTGAGAAGCCAATTCCAGAGTTCTTAAACTGCCATAAATACCCTCATACTTTTTATATATCATGACTATTGTATTAATTTTCTACTTTTTAAAGTATTTCAGTTTCCTTTGAATCCTTGAACAGACTTACTTTGGTTTTTTTCCTCTTAAAATAACACACAACAGACTGGTAATATGGATCTAGTGTGTGGGATGTTGATGATAATTAAAGAGAAAATTAGGAGCAAGAAAAAGAGGAGGTATAATGAAGAGTGTACAGTAGAACATGCATGCGCATGCACACACACACACACATACACACACACACACACACACAGATTTTGAAAGCAGCCTTGAAAGAAGGAGGGTTGACATACTCATGGAAATTAGAGTCCTATGGGAGAGAGTCAAAGTGCTTTGCTGTGCTCTGGCTTGAGGTTATGGATTTAGAAATTGTATGTGCACTGCATACCATGAGGAAGGAGTTGGGAGAAGAGCCATGAGGCCCTCTGCGTTTTCTTCCTCAGACATGCCATGCTAAGCATGTTAATTTGATTATCTAAAGCTTCCTCTATCTTAAACTTGACATATTTAGGCACAATTAAACAGGGAGACTTGAGAAAATTCACATGCCTTCTTTCAAGAAGAATCCACTGAACTTAACCTTGCTTCTCACATTGCTCCAGTGTACCTCTGGGCACTTGTTTTCTAGAACAAGTGTTTACTATTAGGGGGAATCTTAAAACTTGGGCTTGTGTTTCCCAATGGGGGGGGTTGTATTTGGGTAACACTTCTGCCTCTGTCTGTCCCTCATTCTCTTCCCCCAGGAGAAGGAGGCATGTCCCTTCTCTGACTAGTGAGAAGTAGGAACTGGCCGTGCATGGCTTAGCCCTGATGGTTTCCTTTTTCTCTCTCCCCCAGGGTTGTCTGCTGGTCTAGATCATGAGTTCTCATCTGCTTTCTGGAGTCCAAATCTTACCTCTGCTAATAGCTAGCTGTGTGATCTTAGGGGAGTTTTCTCAAATTTTTGGTGTCTTTCTTTGTTTTATTTTCCAGTTTGAAAATACATGTTATAATATTAATAGATTGCCTCCTTGGATGTTGTGTGGAAAGCCTTTAATCAATTGAAGATAATGGAGAATTTTGGAGAAACAAACAGATTAAACACAGCATACACTGTCCCTCACCTCCCAAGGCAAATAGCCAACACATCGGAGTATGTGTTTGGTTGGAGGGATGGTATTAACAGATAGGGAGGTATATCGCATATACCAACAGGTACTTGGTACCTAACAAACACTTGATATGTGTTTGTTGAATGAAGCCCTTATTGGAAGAAGGAATGCATATTTTTGAAATGTCTTCATATAATTCTGCTAAGTACTCCTTTCCCTCTTCCACTATAACACATATGCACACACACGCACTCTCAAAATTTGTGTGTACCACATCATCTATCCAGAGTTATTGTGAATCCTACCTCTTTGGAGCTGTTCCTTAACAAATTATTTATGACACATATGCTTTCTAAAGACTGCAGGTTAGTAGTATCTTTTTAGTTTGGACAAGCATTGTTAAGAATATGCTTAGTTTGCACTATTTTAAAAATCATATTTACAAACTGCTAGAATTTTCTGAATTGTATGTGACAGGTTACACTACTTGCTTCACAATCCAAATATATTTAATAGGTAGCAATGTGTTTCACAATTACTATGGAGTCATAAAGCCCTTGAGGGAAGAGTGCCTCCTGGGAAATGCTGTCTCATATGGGTAAAGAAAAAGCTGGAACTCATCCTTTGGTTTCCTACTTCTGTTACAGTCAGGGATTTTTAAAAGATTCAAACTCAAATTCTAAGTTTCCCTCCATATTGTGTTCATGAATATAGCACAATAGAGCTAGATATATGTCAATATGGACCTCTAGAATATCTCCACCTAAAATGATTATTAGCAAGAACCAGATCTGGCATTTAGGTTAATGTTGGAGAAACCTGAATAATAACTTAGAAAGGATTCTAGCAACTCATTACAAATTTTATTTAGTTATACTGTCTTTTTAAAAAATTTTCTTTTTAATTTCAATTTTGAAAATACATAGAAGGGCAGAGATTTCCTACTTGGATGTTATAGGCAACAATGAAATAATAATAGCCTTTAAGTAGTTGATAAACATGGAGGAATTAAGAGAGTTAAATTCAAAACACAGTAGACAGGAAGCCCACCTACATTTGTAGGTGTAATATTATTGCACCAAAGAGTATAAACATTTAAAAGCGATATGCCAATTGTTTCCCAGGTAGACTGAGTATATTTGCCAAACTAATGAGAGTGCCAGAGCCAACTCGTACTATTAGAATTGCCCATAATCATGTAAAATATATTTTAATTGATATATCATTTTATTAAAAATATTAGAAGAGTAGATACTTCTTGAAATACAAGGAGTTTATGCTGGTCATAGAAAATTTGAAAAGTGCAGAATTGTTCCAACCCTATAGAAAACCACTGTTGAAATGTGGATTTTTCATAACCACCCTTTTTCAAAATATTTTGAAATATTCTCTGCTGTTCAGTTATAATGATAGCTGGAGGCATTATACAACTTTATTTTGTAACATATTTTTTTTTCAGTACAGATGTGAAAAGTTTCACATCTATTATTTAGTACTGCAATGTCAAATAAAGTTAGTTAGAGAGAAGTTTCAGGGAAAAAAGATAAATTTGGAAAAGACCGTAGTCCCTGAGATGGAAAGTGACATAAGGATGTTTTCCCTTGTGGCAATGGTTAGAAAGGAAATGTAGGGAAAGCATCAGAATTTCTGAGTCAGCTTTCAGATGCATGTCCTCACTTTCTCTTTGTTATATCCCAATGAAGATCTTTAAAATGTACACATAGGGAAGCTAAGGCCTTGGAGATACAAGATTCTTTGGCAAGTGGCCATAACTTACTCACTGGGCTGCAGGACTGTGCCCTCCCCTCCTCTCCTGGGATCTGGCTGCCTAGGGTGTTCCTGGTCCCTCCATAATCTTGCACTTTCTTGAGGGATTACTGTGGAATTTGTCGACCCCTCTTCTTGAGATACTCCTTTCTTCTATTTAAAATAAACTATAAAGGTAATACATGCTTTTTCTATTACAACAAAGCTGTAAAGGTAGCATATGCTTTTGGGGAAAAAAATTCTAGCAGAACCAAAGAATAGAACTGAAACATAATTTATACACAGTCTTATATACTATTTTCCTTAATATTATACTATGAAGAATTTTTCTGTGTCCTTAGAATGGCTAAGGTCATATACCATTATGGTCATATACCATTATATGAGTATGAGGCCATATACCATTATATGGTATAATGGCATACCATTATACCATATACCATTATACCATATACCATTATACCATATACCATTATAAAGGTATATACCATTATGATGGTTGCCAGGGGTACAGCCACATCCTAGGTGTGTACCCGCCTTACTCGATGCTCCGCTGTGCAACCTAATGAGGCTGTGACCTTGGCTGACCTGCTGGTGCCCGAGAGTGGACTTTGCCAGGCTCTGCCCCCGGGCTGCCTCCCACAGCCAGTCTAACCAGGCACGCACCCCGAGTCTCTGCCGTTTATTTTTTCCCCATTACTTCACAATTTGGATAAAATAGCATACCATGGGGTTGAGGTCTGGCTCCCCCATTAATGAGGCTGGAATTCACAATCTGAAACTTATGAGTGAATTAACTCCCCGTGGGAAAAAATTTGAGTAACAAGGAAAAGAGACCTTGGAAGAGCTGGGCAAGTCCATTCCCTCTCCCCCCCCTCCCTTGCTGCGATGCATTGTTTAAGGCTCGATGTCATGTGTGCCTATACAGCCTTTCTGAGATGCCCCTCGTAGCCATGTGGATCTACCCACCAAAGGATCTTCCCACCTTGGGAAGCTGTGGTCAGGATGGTATGTGTCCCTTTGCTTTGCTTCTCATCCTTCCCTCCATGGCTCTTTCCCCCACCCTCCCTCATGGGATCGCACTTCGGTAAACACAACATCAGCACTCAGTCATTGCCACAGACCTGGCTTTCCAGGGGACCTGAGCATAGGCAGAGAGCTAGAGGAAGAGGCAGGTAAAGTGCTCCAGATAGGAGACATAGAATGTGCAAAAGCTTTGTGGGGCGAGGAAGCAGGAGAGGTTAAAAGTAAACAGCAAATGTGGTGGAGAAAGGAAGAGGAGAGGCACATGATGTGAACTAGCTGCGGACAAAGCCAGGTGGTGTAGACCCAGGAAGAAGCCGTCTGGTCTTGATTCTAGGAGCAACAGCAATCCACTGTAGGGCTTTAGGTAGGATGGAGGTGGGATGGGGATGGGGTAGTGATATCAGATTTGACTTTTGAAAAGACCACTCTGGCTATACAGGGGAGAATAGACCATAGGAAGAAGGGTTGCAATATGGATATTGGTCGATCAGTTAGGAAGTGATTGTGTATTACGGGAGAAAGATGACCTGAGCTTGGACTACTGTGGTTCTAATGGAAATGGAGAAAAATGGGAATATTTGAGAGATATTTAGGAGGTAAAATGGATACAGGTGATAAAGGCTGGGATGTGTAACTTAGGGAAGTGGACGAGTCAGGTAACTCCCAGTTTTGTAGATTGAGCTACGTATTGCAAACTGGTGGCATTTATGGAGATAGGAAACACTGGAAGAAGATGAGGTTGGGGAAGATCTGAAGTTTGGATTTAGAAATGCTGTGTCCTGTGAGTCTCAGAGAAGAGATCTGGCTGAGGTCAGACTTTTGTGATGGACCTGGTCTGACTGCTCCCTGACGTTCCCTGAAGCTGAGAGGGAGAACAGATGCTAAGGAGAGGCAAGCTGGCTTTGCCCTCTTGGGACTTCATGGTTCCAAATGAATAAGAGCACGACCTGGATTGGGTTTAGCCTTTTGGTCAGTATCTCTGAGTAACAGAAGCATCCTCCACTCAGATCCAAAGCTGAATTATACACTAATGAACACATGTCTGGCTCAAATTATGTCTAGAATGCATTTGTCTAATGTGGGCCTCCTAGACTAAGATTCAATCTTTCCTGACTATTAGTGGGCTATTTTATTTTCCAAATAATTGGAGTCATGCTACAGTTTTTTCAGTGAAACTCTAATCACTGGGGCTGTTGTCTCTGCCCTTGATCACACTGATTTATGGAAGTTAGTTATCTCTTTCATTTGTAAAGCATTTGTTGTGTATATTATGAATATGTTGTGCCCATTAGTTTTTCAGCAAGATAAGGTATTGTTTTGTCCTTGAGCACACTGATTTATGGAAGAGCCCATGTGCAGGGCTCAATCTCCTATCCTTTCTGCATTGCTGTCTTTCAGAGGCTGCGGTTTATAGAACAGATATTGGAAAATGGGTGAGACATAATTCTGGCTGCCTCTGAAAACAGAGCCCCATACTGTGGGTAGGGGAGTGGAGCCCGGTCAGGTGCAAAGAAGACGGACATGGCTAACCATTTTCCGGTAGGTTGCAGATGCCAAGTTTCTGAACTAGGTTAGTTATAACAACTTGTAAGAAGATGACATTTATGAGAATAAGTTGGTATAGGTCACTGATTGTGTATAAAACCAAAGTGTTATTTTCTCTGTAGTTGGGAGAAATTCTCTCACTCTTGCAAATTGTTTTACCAATGGCTTGTTATTCAGATTTTGTCTTTATAGATATATTGACTGGAAGAGGGACGTGGCATATCGTAATCAGATATATGTTATTATGAGGCTATCTTAAAGCTCCATTCTCAACGACTTTTACATATTCTTTGTGCTGATATAATCAATAGCATTTCATATTCCAGAACTAAATTAGCTGAAGTAGGTGAACCGAGACTGTGCATCATTAGTGCATTCTTTAAGTATTTAGAATCTTAAAAATCAGCAGAACATAGGAGATTATTACTGACTGGGCAATCCTTTTTTAGCCTCTTTGGCAGGTAGCTTTGGCTCTCTTGCTTTCAATGCTGTCAGGAATGAAGGCTCATGTGGACAGGGACAGTGATATATTCTTTCCCACATGTTCATTATCAATACCTATTATCATTTATGCTTCATTATTATTTGCAACTATTTTAATGGCTACCCCTATATCCAGAAGATGCATAGCACCATATATAATTCTTAAAAATGGCTTTTCTATCCTTAGCCATGACTGCTAACTTTAATTATATCAACTTTGAATAAAGGGATATGGAAATATTCTGTACCAATTTTTTTTTATAGCCCCAACGCTGCTTTCTGCAAGATTTTGTGGTATAGAAGAACTTCCTTTCACTGAAAGGTTTTTATCCCTTGCAAATCTGAAGGACTGCTGTTACAGCAAGTCTAAATGTAATCTGACCAAGATCAAAGGTAATGATTTAACATCTTGTGTTACTGGTAAAAAAAAAAAAAAAAATTGAAAATTCGAGAAATGCATGTATTTTTTAAATCAGTTAATTGCATTTAGATATTCTCATAATAGTAAATCATTTTGCTTGAAGTGATATAATATGTATTTATCTTAAATTGCATTTAGGTCTGTGAAATATTACTGTCTATATATTCTCTTAATCTTAGATTGCATTTTAAAATATTCTATATGTGAATTGAATTTTTTAGGGCAGAGTACCTGCTTCATTAATTTGTAAATTGTTTATTATAAGGGAGGCACTAGGTAGGAAACAGCATGAATAAGACTATCTGGATCCTGCCCATTGATTTCTCAGCAAGGTAAGGGTAGTAGGCTTCCTCTTGCACCAAAGTTGACAAATATTTACAGTGAGTGAACTTGATTACAGTAAGCTTTTTGTGCAAGCCTGGTGAGAGAATTGATCTGCAAATTATGTTATGTAAGGGATACCTAAAAGCCATGATACCAATTTTAATGTGTAGCAGAGAAAGTGTTCATTGTATTAACAAATTCGTGATACTCCTATAGACCTTGGTTTGCATAGGCCCTGTGTAAATAAATGGAGCTAACTGTCTGAGGGTTAGGAAAACTACTGGAATTAGAACTATTAATTAGTCTATGAATTGTGTAGATTTATCTATGATTATTCCGTATCTAATAGGGGCTGGCATGTTATATGTATTATTCAATCTTTTCAACTATTGAGCATGCCCATTTATTTCTACTTTATATTTGATGAAACTCATGTTTAGGAAAGAAAATCACTTGTTCAAAACCTGAGAATTAGTAAGCAGAAGGCCCTGACTCAGACTTAGGTGTACCTCCCCCAAAGCCCAGCTTTTTCTAGACAGAAAATTGCTTCTTGTCTGGTCAAAATTCTTATCATTCGATCTCTCAAATATCTTACTGTCTCCCTCGCCCCCCATTTTTATTGCAACTGCCTTGGTCTAGATCATCTCTCCCTTGGAGAGGAGTATTTTACTTTCAAAATCCACTGCCTCCTACCTGTCTATGTTGCATTTGGCAGTCTCATTCTGTGTTCTCGGTTCTTGGTATGTTCTTGGCGGAAGAATGACCAGACTCGCCAAAGTAAGGCAAGCACGAGGTGAAATGTATTGATGGGGAGCAAGATAGGATTATAGAGAAAGAGCAAGATACCTATGCCACGAATGATGGCCAGATCCATCATTATAGCAAAAAGAGGCCTTGGTTATGGTCTGGACCTTGTGTTTGGATAAGGACCTCCCTATGGTTCAGATGTCACTGTGGAAACACTTTGATGGACAGTTGGGAGTTATATGACCTGAGTCCTATTGCAAATGTGGATATGACCATGAGCCTTTCTTAAAGCCCATCGGGGGTGGGTGAACCACAAGGTAGTTTTAAGCTGATGACATGTCAATTAGCCTTAGGTTGTCCTAAGTCACCTTCTAGACTCTATTGTACTAATGCTGCTTGGCCCGTGGACTAGAGAGTCCTGTGCATTCTTTTGCAGCTAGTGTGCTGAGTTCTGATTGGTAGATTGGTATGGCATTTTATCCTCCCCCAGGTATGGCAGTTGCTTGGGACAGTATTAAGGTGGGGCAGGACCAAGATGGAGGCTTCAGGCCCACCCTTGTCCTTCTTCCTAGGTAGGACAGTTGCTCAAGGCAGCACCACGGCAAGGTACCTACTTTCATCCCTAGGAGTCCTGGAATCTCTCGCTATCTTCCTAACATCCACAGTTCACATTTTGCCATTTCCTAATTAAACCCTCAGATGGCATTATATTAGGGCATGTTCTAAACTAATGATTAATTACCTGGCAAGGAAAAATCACATCTTAATAAGGGTATAGGGTGGTTTGAGAAATTTTACTCAGTTGGATGCATTTGTATTTGATACATGTAAAGCCTTACATGATTTCATAATGCAAATTAAAATACTAAAAAATGCTAACTGAAAACAAAAGAAGTAACACTTGGCAAAATATTCATGGCCACTGGAAATACGCTGACTATAAAATGAGAAAATATTTGATGTAAACTCTACTATTACAAAGAGTGTGACATGTTTGTTAATTATGGATAAGGTTCTCATGCATATGTGATACAATTACTGTCTACTGATTTAAGGTAGGCAGTTACTGTTGGCTGCCCACCCAACATTTATGCTGCTGTTCTTTTGTGCTAACAAAACTCGAGTTTTATTCATGTGGCAAAGTGTTTAAATTCAGTGGACAAATCATGGTCTACCCCAGCAATGATAGAAATTCTATTTCCCTTTGATGGTGATTGTTCTGGGGGCCCTATGACCCGGTTCTGGGCAGTGATCTGTGAAATGAAGTCTGATGGGGTTTCTCTAGCAAAGTCTTCCTTTTTGAGAGATACATTTGCAGTGAGAAAATCCTTTCTTTTGGCTGCTCTGGGCTTCATGTGTTGGAAATGATGGCTGGAGCTTTGGCAAGGAGGGCTCATGCCTGAGAACAAAGACAACACCCTGAAACTGGAAGGTTGAAGGAGCTTAGGTTTGATGGCCT